TGTCTGCTCCCCAGATCACTCATTGCCGATGGTTTTGTTTAATATGATCCCAAGCAGAGATTAAGAGATGCATTTTTCTATGGTAGGTCAAATGTTTGGTATTTATTAGACAAGCCAAAAAGGTAGGTTGCGCAAGCAATAAATTATAATCCACCAGTTCACTGTTATAATAAGGTAGTGGTTCAATGAGAATGCATTTACTTTCTTCTCCAAAACGATTGCACTCCAAAACACTCAAACAACAACTGATTATCCATGCTAAATAATCCACTTAACGTAAGGGTTGAAAAGAAAATTACGTCTGTTATTCTAGCTACTGTTTCTCAAACTGATAACTTCTTTGATTAATGCATTAATATGTAAATTTACTCAAGAAGGACTATTAATGTTCTACTTACCTCGTCGCAGCCACAGGAGCGGTGCAATCCCAAAGATATAAGAGAGTAGTGTGAAAATGTCCACGCACGCAGATAGGCCCTTGCAAAAGAATATTGATATGATATACTATTGACACAACTTAGGGTCATATAGTCAGTTCCTACAATTAATTGTAGGACGCCTATATGGCTTCCTTGATTTCCATAATATCATGTCTTCTTCGGTAAGGTACTTGTACAGTTCTGACTATAGGTTATGTTGTTATTCTGACGTTTAAGAAATTTTAGACACATGAATCGAAGGCAGAAGCATAATTTATTATTTTCTTGCAAATAATGCTGATCGATCAATAATAATTCCCTACATTGAATAAATTCCACAAGCTGTGGTATCTTCAAATCCCATTATTATTAGCGATCTGAAAATATACATCGTTTTTCCCCAGAATGGAATAAAAATGATTATTTCAGCTCTTGCCTAGGCTTGACCTTTAATGAGATTACACTCGCGATCTTGCCCCATAACCGTGGCGCTTTTCCCCCAATGTCGGAAGTCAGGACACACTTGGCAACGTTGCGTCGAGCCCTTCGGCGCTTTTGCGCTGCTCAAGTGTGTGTTCCTCAGTACCTTCTCCCATTAAGGCGTCAGGACTTAATCGGGTCAAGCCTAGGCAAGAGCTGAAATAATCGTTTTTATTCCATTCTGGGGAAAAACGATGTATATTTCAGATCTGTGCCGTCGGCTTGACCTTTAATGAGAAGTGTTTGTACACCTGACGACGTAAAAAAGCGTACTGTGAGTAAAGAGAAAGAGAACAAAAATAATATATATATATATATATATACGCATTTTGTGCGTACTGTAAATAAATCTTTTTATTGTGGCACGCATAACAAAACTTAAAAGTGATACTCTGATTCATAACAAGAATATGTAATAGAAAAATATATGTAATTCTATCTGCCTTATCCTTTACAGCATAAGCCTATCACACAACTGAGAAGGAACTTTGTATTAAATCAGTCTGTGTTTATCGTACTGAAGGTTTTTGAATTTCCTTGTAGTAATACTTGTAGAAGTTTTGGCTTCCTTGCCCGTTGCCCTTCTTCAGAATGATGTCCAGTGGGACGTTGTTTTCAAATCTTGCCGATGCCACTGCTGACCTGATGCTGCCTGGTGAAAATGAGATTCCCGCCTCGCTAAATGCTGTTTTAATCCATCCCGCTATCACAGTGCGGGATGCCGGTTTCACTTGACCTCTGGTCGTTATGAACAAGTTGGTAAGCCCATCTTTGACTTTACGGCGAGTAGATGTAACTGCGACCATCTGATGTATCCAGAATACCGGATCATGTTGTATCTTGGAGCACCGTTTCAGGAACCATCCTAATTGGCGATACAGGCTCTTGTCTGTCTTTGAGCCGAATTCTGGAATAACGGTGGCATCCTGTAACTCCATGGAGTATTGGTCTACTTTGAGTAGAGTCAGGTCATGGATCCTACGACCAGAAGCTAGTAAGAGGATTACAGACAAGTGATGAGATACTTGAAATATGCTACCTCGAACGACATCATCAGCTTCCAACCATGATAGAAGTTTGTTGACGTCCCACGTCTGTTTCCTGTTAGTGACGGGAAGCCTTGACAGATCGATCGCTTTAAGCATGTGCCTTACTATGGGATTTCCAGCGAGTCTTCCCGAACTCATAGGGTTGGCAAACACCGTTAGAACGGATTTATAGAGCTTTATTGTTGAGGGGGCGAGTTTCTTTTCCCTGTGTAAAAATCCCAGGTATTGTGCTAGTTGGTCTGGAGAGGGATCTCATGGAATGTTGTTTCTAGAACACCATGCTAGCCATTCCTTCCATGGTGCTGAATATGTTTTCAACGATGACATTTTCCAGGAGATAGTAAGCAGTTGGACGTCTTTTTCTTTCCAATGAGTTAGGGCCCTTGCCCACCCCGTATTTTCCAAGCTTCCAATCTTAGTGAGCGGCTTTGGGAGAGTGGTTGATTCGTCGACAAGTCTATTAGATGATGGTGCAGATTCCGTATATGAAGGGGAGGGGCTAACGCTCGCGCTTTTAGATCTATTCTCCAGAAAACTTTTTCCCATCTCGGCGCTATGACAATGTACGTTCCTGAAGCGTGATTGAGATATCGCAGCACTCGTGGGATCAAGCATGGAGGAGGAAATATCCATGCTAGTTGGAAGTTCCACTGCCTGCTGAAGGCATTCGTGAAGGTTGCTTGCTGATCTTTGGCATTCCTTGCAGCATAGGCTGGCACAACCCGCGATCGATTTGTCGCAAACAAATCTATCGTGGGCGTGCCCCATTTCTTGAAAATCATGAGTGTGACTCTCCGTGATAAGTGCCAGTCTGGAAGAGGTTTTTGACGAGAAAGCCTGTCTGCTGTGGTGTTGAATACACTCGGAATGTATTGAACCTGAATATCCCTTTCTAATTGGTTCGCCAAGTTTAGGATCTGATGTGTGAGGTCCAGCATCTGAAGGGATTTGGTTCCACCTTGATTCCGAATATATGAAACCACCGTTCTGTTGTCTGACTGTATCATGATTGATCGGTTCTTTAGCTTGCTCTGAGAGAATTGGAGCGTCGCCAATACCGCATATAATTCCTTCCTGTTGATGTGCCAGGGTTTTTGGTGATTCATCCACGTTTTCCTGATTAGCGTATGATTTATCTGCGCCCCCCAGCTTGTGTTGGATGCATCCGTTGTGATAAAAACTGTGGGGGCTTTCCGAAACATCGCCGTTTCCCATTTCAGATTCCTCAGCCACCAGCTGCATTCCGACAGAGCAGATACTGGAACTGGATTTTTTTTTCTTCGCGAGCACTCGGACAGGAGCAGGCTGACCCGCTGCAAGTGTCTGGTGTACAGCCGTCCTAGTGGTATCGCACTGCAGGCAAAATTTAGTTTTCCTTAGAGTATGTTTGCCTTCATCCAATTTCACTGACTATTTTTCAAGATGGCTCGGATGTCTTGCCCTAGAGACCTGCGTTTTCGTAGAGGAAGCGAGGTGGTGCCCTTTTTCGTGTCCCATATGATTCCTAGATATTCCATCCGCTGCTTTGGGTTTTCCGAACACTTGTCCAGGTTTAGGTACCACCCCAAGCTTCGTAAGAATTGCTTGGCATCTTGCACTTGCCTGGTTATTGTTTCCTGACATTGGTTCGATAATAGAAAATCGTCCAAGTAAACGATGACTCTTATGACCATATTTCGCAGTTGGTTCGCCAACCAGTTTGATATTTTTGCGAAAGTAAGGGGTGTCGAAGCCAGACCGAATGGGAGGCATGTCATCTGATAGACAGTTTCCTTGTGTACTACTGAGAGAAAGCGACGATGATTGGAGTAAATGGGAAGGTGGAAATATGCCTGATGCAGATCTAGTTTTACCATGAAATCCTCTTCTTGCAAGAAATCCGGTACCCTCAGGTGGCTGATTAGGCGGAATTTCGAAATTTGCAGGTACTGGTTCAAACGTTTTAAATTGAGAATCGGTCGGATCTTCCCATCTGGTTTCAGCCGAGGGAACATTTTGGATACGAACCCGGCGACGAACTCGATTTCTCTAGGATGCACTGTTTTATCATCGTTTCTACTTCTGCCTCCATGCCCATTGTAGAAAATTTTGTTAGATGCCCCTTTTTGAAACTTGTTAATGGTGGGCGTTTGACGAAGTGTAGTTTGTACCCCTTTATTGTATTTAGTATGTGTTGTGGTGCTTTCATCTCTTCCCAGAATTCGACGTAATCTGATAAACATCCCCTTTGAAAAGGATTGTCATTGCCGTCTCGTACGGCTTGATAAAGTAGTTTTCTTGGATGGGTTATACGGTTCTGTTGTTTGGAGACGCATTCTGTAAGTTTTGGAGGTAGTTTTCGTGTAACTGCGGGAATTTGTTGGTTGCTGAGCGTTTCTTTCACGAGATCCAGTTTGTCTAGAATCTGATGGATGTCCACTGTAACGGATATTTCTGTTGTATCCTGTGGTAATATGAGTACGGCGTGCTGGGACGAAAAAACCGACCATGTATTTTGTAAAAATCTTCAAACTGTGCTTCATCGAAAATGAAAGTTTCTGATGGGGGAATGTTTTCTAGTTGAGAAGAAACTGCATCATGTTTTGGCTTAAAAGATTTTCGCCTTTGTTCAATGGCCTCAGCACGTCGACCGCATTTATATTGGAGTATGTCATCAGAAATTTCGCGAAACTCGCCCTTAAGCAACAGTTTCTGGATGTCATCCCTAGCTGACGGTTGATTGGCCATTATGGTTTTAATAGAGTTCGTAAAGGCATCTCTTTGGAGAAGTAATCCGTGCGAGATAGTTCCTAGGCACGAATCCATTTTAGCATGGAGAAGTTGTATGTTAACTCGCAAAGCTGAGAAAACCGGTGCGGCTTGGAGTTTTTTCTGTACCTCTGAGTATCTGATTTTGTTGAAGGTGGCGAGTCCAAGTATTTGACATTCCTTACCCTGTAACAGTATATGTGGTTTTGGGGGTGGAATAGCTGGTTCTTGTTCCTTCGTAATGGGAGTAAAGTCCACGCACATGTCATCCTCCTGGTGGATGTCTGGAGCCGACCAAGGGACTTCATCTTCTGAGTCTGGATGTTCCGAATATATATCGGAGTCTACTGGCGCTGCAACTCTCATTATGGATATTTCTGAGACTTTTTTCCAATTTTTTAATTCTGTTTACTTTCTTTGAGCGTTTTGCTACCTGCTCACTAGAGCTGCTTCCCTGATCCGAAAGATCCTCAGATAGGAGTGATGAGGCTTCTTTCCATGAAATCATTAAATGTTTCATATCTTCTAGAGCTGCCAGAACTAGTTCGTTCTGTGCTATCGAGCCTCTTATCTTTGCGGCTAGACTTGATGGTGCCGTCACAAGGCACAGACAGAATGGCCAGTTTAGCATTCTGATCTTCATGTCGCGATATGCTTTTTCTGAAAGGCATGAGATTGTAGGGTTGAACGCTCGTGCTATGCCTACTGTTGGTAGAGCAAATATAAGCTTATTTAAAATCTGCGGATCTATAGGTTCCTCTAAGACATCGACCTTGGTTGTCGCTGCTATTCTTCATTCTTTCCATCCTGCAGGGAGATGTTTCACAGCCAGAGCTTTGATCCTATCTAGGATGATGTTATCACTCGTTGATTCTGCCTGTTTGTCGAACAGATCCCGGAGTGTAGTCCCAGCTACTGGTGATACCATCTGCAAGGTAAAAGCTTCGTATTAACGTACAGACCTAGATAGAATGGCAGTGTATACTTTATCTGAAGTCACTTGAAATACTGTGAAATACCGGGTGCGTTTTATATATCTATATTTAACACGCTCTGTTGCTGCAAAAATCCCCAAATTTCGCAGCAAATATCCCCCGTATAAGAGATCAAAGGCAGTTTCACCGGTCCACGTGGAGTAAAGCACGCCTATGCGTGGACATAGCCAATGAGAAAGCGTGTATTTCAGAGCTCGGAACAAGTGCAGGTGGCTACTGAAAATTGAAACAGTTTAGCCAGTGCCGTGTAGCGGTGAATAAACGTGTTTTCTTTAGTCTGTCCGTGTTTTTTCAAAGATTTTATTAGTTTGTGTGTTTTTGACATTTGAATACTCAGTTTACTTGTTGATTTAATTGTTGTGTTGATTGTTCTTGTGTGTCCTAAATATGGCTCTTTGGAGACCTTGGGAAAATGCTCCAAGCCACGAGGAGATGGTTGATGAACCTGTGCAGGCAGAATTCTTTCATAAAGATTTAGAGGAACAGACCCAAAGAGTAATCCTAAATATGTATGATTGTCTGAAAAACGAAAATCCAGATTCCTCGCAAAATCAAATTTTAAACAGAATTTGTATCCTGACAAAAATCAGTCGGTCTACCATTTATCGGGTTATAAAAAGGGGAGATGTAGTCAACCATTCCTTCCACAGAAAGCGCATAGGGCAAAAATTAAAACGAATAGACGTGGGTTTTCAGGAAGATATTCGTCGTATAATATAAGGATTTTATAAAGAAAATTTGGTGGCCACGTTGGAAATGATACGGGATAAATTAAAAGATTATCCTGAAGATTTTTATAATTACAAATGCTTAGACTCACTGCACTGTATTGTAAAACTGTGTGGTTTTCAATACAAAAAATTAGATAAAAGAATGGTGATTATGGAGTCGTCTCGAATCGTTGAATTGCGCCAAGAATTTTTGCACAAAGTTAAAATCTATAGAGAGCAGAAAAGAAATCTGATTTACCTGGATGAAACGTGGTATGATACCCATGATGTTGTGCAGTACGGCTGGGTTGACGACAGCAACAAGTGCATTTTAAATGCACCATGCAACCGTGGAAAACGAATCATTATTCTCCATGCTGGCAGTGAAAATGGATTTATACCTAATGCCTTGCTGTTATCTGCCAAAAATATCAAAGAATCATGTGCCGACTATCATGAGGACATGACCTCCGACTTATTTGAAAAGTGGATAGAGCAGCAGTTAATACCAAACATTTCCCCAAATTCAGTGATTATTATGGACAATGCGCCATACCATTCCCGACAGAAAAACAAAATTCCGAATACAGGCACAAAAAAACAAGACATTATTGATTTTATGAAGGATAAGGGAATGGAAATACCACAAAAATCAACCAAAGCCATATTATTGGATCTTATTAAAAGACAAAAATTTGAAAAAGAGTATGTTGTTGACAATCTGCTTCAGCAAAATGGCCATAAGTATTACGTCTACCTCCCTATTACTGCATTTTTAACCCGGTTGAGTTGGTCTGGGCTGCTTTAAAAAAAAAGTAAGAAAACATAATCAGACCCCTCAATTAAGTGAATCGCTATTGGCCACAATAAGAGATGCAGTATCTCATATTGCTGCCACAGACCTATGGAAGCAGTGTTCTAGGCATATTATTGAAAAAGAAAATGAATATTGTGTTTTGCTTCCTGTAAATCCCGTTGTAATTCCTCTACAAGATGACTCTAGCGACAGCTCCGAAGGCGAGGATGATATATAAATACCTATAATGTAAGTCTTTATATACCTTTTTATATACCTACCTGCTATGTAAATATTTGCCTATGTCAAACGTTGGAATTCTGTAATTTTTCCATTTCTTAACTTTCAGTCAACATAAATTAAACTCCCAATATAAGTATTTTTTATCCCAAATCAAAAAAATAAGAAGATAGTAAAATCCATTTATTGTGATATAAAAACATTATTATTATCGTTCTAAATAAATGCCGCACGCCTATGATACGTCATGAAATTACAAAGGACGCGCCGACCAAAGGTTTTTATGCTATTTCAAGTGACTTCAGATACACCATACATCCGTATAGGTGTGCCCCCGCTCAGGGTTAGGCACATGTGCGGCGGCTCCTCGGCAGAGCCGTCGTTTAAACCCGACGACGGTTCGGGGAATCGAGCCCTCGGCTGGAGCCGCAGGGTCAGACAATTTGCACACCGGCTCGGAGATTGAGGCGACGTCTCAAGAAAATGGGCCGACGTCTCAAGAAGGTAGGCCGACGTCTCTGATGTTCCAGCCGGCGGCTCGAGATGTTGAGCCGACATTGCAAAACAGGCAGTGTGCGCTGAGTTAGCCATCATAAATTGTAACCCTTTGGGTCTTAATAGTTTCTATGGATGTAATGACAAGCCATAGGATTAGTCAGCTTAAGCGCCCCAAGGTTTTGTCTAGGTGCTCACAATCTGGGTCTGCCTACACTCTTTGACTGCATGCTACCTGGTAATATGTATTAAGTACGACCTACCTTATTGACAAAACACGTATCACGCACTGGTCTTTCACAAATATTACAGTTTGATAAATGGAGGGGTCGATTCGAACGGCACACGCCCTTAATATTTAGCGGACGGTACGGGAGCAAAATCCGAAGCGTACTGAGGAACACACACTTGAGCAGCGCAAAAGCGCCGAAGGGCTCGGCGCAACGTTGCCAAGTGTGTCCTGACTTCCGACATTGGGGGAAAAGCGCCACGGTTATGGGGCAAGATCGCGAGTGTAATCTCATTAAAGGTCAAGCCGACGGCACAGATCTGAAATGAACACTTTGACGCAAATGGATGTGTATTTCTATATATAAGAGCCCAACAGCTTACAACCAAGCTGTTGCCTTGATTAAGGTAGGTAAGTTACAAAACAAGTCATTGCATATTCATATTATATACTTATCGCATTATTTTCAGGTGTGGTTCATTCTCATAGACTTTATGAGATGTTAGATAAGAAACATTGTATCCCAAGTGCAACTGCATTGTTGATGTCGGAAATGTGTGTTCACAAATCATTGTTGGCCTTTGGATTGCTTAGTATCAGGCTACAAGTATGACCGGTGTGAGAAAGCTTCTGAAATGCTGACAGATAAAAAATATGCTAAAAAAATTCATTTTCACCCCCAAGGAAATGATTCCCCAAAATCAGTTGTAACTCAAAAAATACTCTATTATAGAGGCTATCTATATTCTAGATGGCATGGTGTGAGAAAGCTTCTGAAAGGCTGGCAGATAAGAAAATATGCTAAAAAATTCATTTTCACCCCCAAGGAAATGATTCCCCAAAATCAGTTGTAACTCAAAAAATACTCTATTATAGAGACTATCTATATTCTAGATGGCATGGTGTGAGAAAGCTTCTGAAAGGCTGGCAGATGAGAAAATATGCTAAAAAATTCATTTTCACCCCCAAGGAAATGATTCCCCAAAATCACTTGTACCTCAAAAAAATACTCTATTATAGAGACAATTTATAGGCTGGGTGGCATGGTGTGAGAAAGCTTCTGAAAGGCTGGCAGATAAAAAAATATGCTAAAAAATTCATTTTCACCCCCAAGGAAATGATTTCCCAAAATCAGTTGTACCTCAAAAAAATACTCTATTATAGAGACAATTTATAGGCTGGGTGGCATTGTGTGAGAAAGCTTCTGAAAGGCTGGCAGATAAAAAAATATGCTAAAAAATTCATTTTCACCCCCAAGGAAATGATTCCCCAAAATCAGTTGTACCTCAAAAAAAATACTCTATTATAGAGACAATTTATAGGCTGGGTGGCATGGTGTGAGGAAGCTTCTGAAAGGCTCATTTCCTTGGGGGTGAAAATGAATTTGTTAGCATATTTTTTTATCTGCCAGCCTTTCAGAAGCTTTCTCACACCATGCCATCTAGCCTATAAATAGTCTCTATAATAGAGTATTTTTTTGAGGTACAACTGATTTTGGGGAATCATTTCCTTGGGGGTGAAAACTAATTTTTTTAGCATATTTTTTATCTGCCAGCCTTTCAGAAGCTTTCTCACACCATGCCACCCAGCCTATAAATTGTCTCTATAATAGAGTATCTTTTTGAGTTACAACTGATTTTGGGGAATCATTTCCTTGGGGGTGAAAATGAATTTTTTAGCATATTTTTTTATCTGCCAGCCTTTCAGAAGCTTTCTCACACCATGCCACCTAGCCTATAAATTGTCTCTATAATAGAGTATTTTTTTGAGGTACAACTGATTTTGGGGAATCATTTCCTTGGGGGTGAAAATGAATTTTTTAGCTTATTTTTTTATCTGCCAGCCTTTCAGAAGCTTTCTCACACCATGCCACCTAGCCTATAAATTGTCTCTATAATAGAGTATTTTTTTGAGGTACAACTGATTTTGGGAAATCATTTCCTTGGAGGTGAAAATGAATTTTTTAGCATATTTTTTTATCTGCCAGCCTTTCAGAAGCTTTCTCACACCATGCCACCCAGCCTATAAATTGTCTCTATAATAGAGTATTTTTTTGAGGTACAAGTGATTTTGGGGAATCATTTCCTTGGGGGTAAAATGAATTTTTTAGCATATTTTTTTATGTCATTTTTTCAGAAGCTTTCTCACACCATGCCACCTAGCCTATAAATAGTCTCT